ATCAGACTTTACCGTATAGATCAAGAAACAGGCAACACTACAAGCCAACGAGCTTTCTCCGCCTGTAAACTGGACATTGGACATTGGACATTGGACGATTGAACCACATTGCGGACTTTATCTCTGTCATATCACGCGCTTTACTATATTGCTCTGATGTTCTCAAATCTGTTCCTTACCAAATCAGTGGCAGTTAATTTTAGTGTTTCACCATCCCTTATAATTTTCATTTCGTGTTTCATGTTTAGCAGTCGGTTTATAGTTCCCTCGAAATCTCGTGTCCGGTAGTTTCAACTGCTCAGTAATTTCCTTTGGTGATTTACTTGATAAAACATGCAAATATTATTTTCACCTCTAACATTCTTATTCATTCATTTTGAGAGTTGATCACTTCGTTCTGGTCATTTCAGTCTGGAAAGAGCTCTACGATGCAGATGTATTACAAGAGGAATTCGGCGTGTGCAATTTCCACAATGCCACAGTGATGTCTCAGTTTCTACTCTGAAATCAGTATCTACTCGAACAGGCTCGTTCTTTGAGAAGTCCGAAATACCATTACCTTTCGTTGAACACTGTTTCTGGCTCTATTGGTGAAAGGTGGGGCCGTCTGGATGAAGTTTAGTACCGATATTCGTTTCATTTTTCGCCTTTAGAGGTTTATATATATATATATTAAAACAATGCATAACTACGACTTTCTGCTAGAAGGCTGCGAAAGGGTTGTATTTCAAGTTTACACCGAATTTATACGTTTCGCCATTCCCCTTGTGGCAGAGTTGCACCGAAAGCCTCAGTATGGTCGGAGGTGGGTGTCTCGGGTTGCACCTCGTTAAGTGCTCGTATATCACCAAGGGTCTCAACTTCCCTCTGCTGATGAAGTCCTACTCACTACCTTCCCGTGGCGGGGGTGCTTTCCTCACCAAAGGACGAACAGCCGACATCCGGGGCTATAACTGGATCGGTGATCCACTGACAGTTCACCTAGGAGAGATGGCTAAAAACCTGAATTCGAACGCAATCAAGAAGAACTGTGCAAATCGCTCACGCCTTTCTGGTTGTCATAGGGGTTACCATCTCGATTGGGCATGGTGGTGTATTGGGCACCCTGGACGTTTGATCCCGCCCGAAGGGTGTATGATCTGACCAACTGGACACGGGCCCCCATTGAACTGCGAGCTCTGAGCTCAGTCCTACTGTCTTGCAAGCCTAACTTTCTAGCCAAAAGCTTCCGGTGGTGACTCCCAGGGTTATCTCCCTTCTTCGGCCAGAGCGACCGGGAAGTAACATTCCCACACAACTTATGATCACAGATTTCCGAATTTTCGCTCTCACAAACTATGCGCTCCTTTACCGAGGTGTTGGTGATCGGCTCCGCACCAAACACCAAACAATCACATTCTTTCTCTTCCTCGATTTTTGAACCTCTTATTGTCGGTTTACCACCGATTGTTTCGAGTTTCCAACAGTTTGCTGGATAGTTTGAGTGCTACTGCGTTTTGCATGTTTAAAATGTTATGTCACAAAATTGGGTTAGTTCAACCATCAACCTCACATTGACTGGGGAAGTAAAATTTCGCAATCTGGGTAGCCGGCGGACGCGTCACAGATGAAGTGTCGGCGCGCATATAAAGGGCTCGGTTGGCATTTGCCAGATATCTGTGGCGCGACATCCGGCTGTCTGTGAAGGGTCGAATATGTGCAGCCGCAGTTCGGTCAGTGCTGCGCTACGGTGCATAGACTTGGCCACTACGGGCACCTAGTGAAAACTAATCGAGACATGTGTTACGCATGTCACCAGATAGGTTGCCTCGGCTAGCGATGTTTGCCGAGGCAGGTAGTGGGTGGAAATTGTCAAAGGTGGTCAAGCTAAAACATGGCATGAGGGTATGAAAACCCTAACCAGGAGTCTGGGTCACATGGGTCCCGTTAGACCCCCTGTCCGGGGACCCCTCGATGAGTATCACTGAGGGTTAGAGACACTCAGTGATATGGCTGAGTGTCGTGAACAGTGGCTTTCGTGCATCTTGTCAATTTCTCTGCAACATTAGTTCACTGAACTTCTAAAGTTTCTTTGATCCTACTTTTAGCCTTTCCTATCTTTCTCCTAATGTTCATCTAAATGGGTGGCCAAAGGACAGCAACCAAAACCGGCGCACGGTAGTGCATGGATAATGGCTGTACAAACTGAAACTGAAACTAACATTTAAAAAGACTACCACGTTTGACATGAAGGTCTGTCGTCGAAATCATCCACGTACGGACTCTACCCGTCTTTCCTATCGCAGCTGCAGTGTTCCATTAGCAAGCATACCATGTCCATCCGAGTCGAGAGATTCCTATAACGGCCGATTCCATTGGATACCGCTGTTTCCCAAGGTTTCATACTTTCGCCCACTCTCTTTTATCCAAAACATGTAGTTCCATTTCGTACTCTGCCGACGATGCCTCTCCATCGTTCTCTTTTTTACCCTCACGATACTGGAGCTTTATGACGGGTATTTCTGGGGTGTCCAGCCACTAAGCAGGAAAACAATTACGATTTTTTTATTGCACTTTGGTAGACAGCTCTGCTGTCCTCCGGTTCAGTACTACGCGTAACCTATCGGGGCGTTATGTAGTTCGCCACCTCAAGTCCCGGGGATTAGGTTGCAGGTTTCCTCCACTGAATAGCAGGTCCTTGTGACTATGGGGTTTACCCTGTCTGCTGTTCATCACACTATGGTGTGCAATTTTTCTATTACAAACATACAGCAGACAGGGTAAACCCCATAGTCACGAGGACCTGCTATTCAGTGGTGGAAACCGGCAACCTAAGCCCCGGGACTTGGAGTGGCAAACCACATTAGCCCACGCTAGGTTAGGTATGGTATTGAAGCGGACGACTGCAAAACTGCCTACCACCAACTTTGGATGGCGGTGGTGGGGCTCGAACCGCCAACCACAAGGTCCAAAGCATCCCGATGACAGCGACTGAACCACTACGTCACCACTACCAAAGCATTTGGTTCTGACAAGAACCTAATCACAATGCAGCGAGTAAGGCGTAGTAGAGGTCCATTTGTTGGGATCACTTACTCCAACATTTTTACCGACTGAGGCTCCAATTCGAGTCGAACTCCTACTTTGGAGGACCAGTAGACTGGACTCTGTCTGACCTCTACCCATTGACCTTCAAGGTGTGATTAGATCTACGGCTTGACAAAAGTCATCCTGTGTAGCTCGTTGGGCTAGAGAGATGCACAAGTCACCACACCACCACGGGATAACTTTAGTTTTGATCGTTATCAAAATGTAAGCCTTCGTACTACTCCTTTGATGTGTGAATCGATTAATGAAGCTGTTAGATAAAGAGAAGGTAAAAGCTTTATTGAACTTGCAGCTTGCAACTACCGGGAGCGAAAAAGATAGAGAAAATTTGGTGAAACAAGTAGAAAATAATATAGTACCAGCCAACAAAACTTCAATGTGACATCCCCCTCCTGGTCACTTTTGAGTGAATCCAATATTTATGAATGTTTTGTGACTAAAAAAAGAGATAGCAGAGTTGATAGACTTGATTTTACAATGTTACTTCCATGCTACGGCACTTCTGCGCTCACTCAGAGGCTGGGGCGACAAATGAGCTAGCGGGGAATCTAAACTACCTGGACACTAGGTCCAGCATCAACGTAGCTTACTAGAATGTCAGGACACCACACAGAAATACACACAATACATTCACCGTAGGACTACAAAGAACACTTCTTCCGCACTTTTCCACTTCAAGGTGCAAAGTGATAGTCCAAGATTGGGTACCGCCTAGTCCCGTTTTGAGCCTAAATGGTTAGAAATTAACGTCAGTTGCTTTTCTCTCTCAGGTAGATGCTTTCTTTTTATGGCATATTTTTGTGATGAACAGTAATCGTGTTGGGTCCCATAATCGCGAAGACTTGTTCAGTAGTTGAAACCGACAACATAAACCCCGGACTTGGAGTGGCGAATCACGTAAGGCTCTGTTGGGTTAGGCGTACTATAAACCAAACGACAGCAAAGCTGCGTACCACCACCACTGACGGTAGCACAACAGGTGATAACGACACGTATTTCCACACCTTGAGCAGTGTACGCAGGAGTCAATCTCCCCTTGCGTCGACGTTACGTTTCATTGAAGTTGCAAGGTCCTGTGTCTCTAGACGGTCCGTTCTGCTTTTCTTTTGTGAGACCTTGAATCTGGAAGTAGAAGATATCTATCGACGAAAGGTTTTTGACAGTCGATGTTTACGTAATCTAACATGCATGAGAGCGAGTTAGTAACCCAGAGTCTAGTCGTCGTGTTTTTGGAAATTAGGTCAGACGAAATTAGCTATTGTATTGAATTCAGAGTGATAGGCTTCACTGTTTCGAACACGTCTTGCCAATACCCAGCGGTTGTTTACTGTACCGCTCCTAAAATTGCATCGTTGTACGTCCGTTTTTCATTATCTGTTTATAGTTCCACCACCCGTTGACCGACACAAATGAACGATAAAAGACCCAGATTATCAATTTTCGTCACAAATATTCTCATTCTCAGCACTTAGTTTTTCATTCAAGTTTTTTTACCGTCTGATAGGAACTTGTCCACGGACAAACATCCTTCATCAAAAGGGTTTTATTTTTAGATACCTCCATATTTAAAATGTCCCTTACCAACGAGGAGCAAACTGAAGGATTATCCGGAGCACAGTTATTGTTAGCTCAAAAGAAACAAAGAACCGAAATGAAGTTATCTATTGTTACTAACTGTGAATCGGTCATTCAGTCTCCGGAAGTTAATGTAAGTCCAGATGGGGTCCAATTTATCTTTGTACTGCCTACATCAGATGCCTTCACTTCGGGAACTTACCAAATGCTTCGAAGCTTCGAAATACATGTCATCCAAAACGATTCGTTCTTTGTTAATCGCCTCATTGTGTGTCGTGTACAAAGATATTCTACCAGCTTATCGTATCAGGCCTTTAACGGAACAAGAGAAGTCGCAACCTGTAAGTTCGGTCGAGTGTAGTTCATGTTCTCAAATTTATTGGGCAGATGAAAAAAGAAACAAAGAAAGTTCGATTCTTCGAGGAAAACCTGCTTGTGAATTACAGAAAGTACGTAGAACTATTGCAAGTCATTCTTGGTGGTAAGCTTGATTTCGATTGCCATCATGCCCTCTTCCAAAGGATCTACACATAGTCAAAATAAATCGCAGCGCATGAAACAATATGGTAAAGTGCACTGGAGTGAGGTGTGTTTCTCTTTCTTTCTTTCTTTCTCTCTTATTGCTCTATCTAAACACATTTCTTTACGCTCTAGATTGATCGCTTCGCTGCCCTAAAATGTGCGTGTCAATTGCTTGAGACACATCCTCGATTCAATTTTAGCGAGGAGTTAACAACGCTGCTGCTACCGTTCCTGAATGATTCACGAGTTCAGGTAACGCAGATTTTTTATTGACCCGCTTACTATCTGATTGTAGGTTAGTAGTCTTGTACTGGATTGTTTGCGTACGATATTTGCCAATGATCGAGAAGGTGAAACCACACTAGCGGTATGGGTCCATTGATTTTATGACTCAAGGCTTCTCCAGATTTGTCGTGCTATTCATCTGTTTGCTCGCAAAAAGTCCTACCGTTTTCGTCCAGCTGTGGCTAAGGCTTTATCACTTGTCCCCATCACCGAGGTAGTGGATGAGGCGGCAAAGTTAGCAGAGAAAGTGGATCGGTCGATGAAGTCCAGACGTGAAAGAAAAGTAAGTGCTCCACCGAACTTTGAGTCCCTCTCAAACTAACCGCATTTATCATATTGCTTATCATAAATTTCCTTGGTGACTACATAGAGAATCAATCAAATGTCATCTCTTATTCCCAGTGTTCGTACTGATCCGGTCGATAACGGGAGAGAACAACACGGTTAGGCAAGGGAAGTGTTTATCGTATCCTCAGCTGTACTGTTAAATTTTCTGCACTAGGTTCGAAAATCCTTGCAATGAAGCTTTGATGAGTGAACTTGTTGTTTTGACTCGCACAACCTAAAAAGTGACCATACCTCATCAGGATATTGACGGTCCTGATGAACTCCATGCGAGAAAAGATTTACAACAGAGAAAAATGCTCCAAGCATTCGGTACATTCCATCATCCATACAAGTCACGTATGTGGAACAGGCGAACCACAAAGGATAACTCTCGAACATATTACACGTTTGGTTGACTGCTACTTCAACTTTCGTTGTCACAGCTACGATGCAAAGTTATTCTAAAGATACCAGATGCGTTAGTCTTATGCCAGAGCTCTTGTAAAGATTCTCATTCTGTGCAGTCGTCTTTTCCTCACCCACCAAATTGGGCTGTCTAGACAGAAGTAAACTGACAAATTTTGAAGTGAATTGGAGAATGTTTTCTCTCTCTCTCTCGTGCATCCGAACTAACTATCTCCTTTTTCCATACAGAAAGACAAACTGGAAAGAAAACATGAGAAGGAGATGGCTGAAACAGTAGCCGCGAAATCGCACGAGGAACGTGTCAAACTGGTACGTTGGTAACCGGATGAAAAATTTGGATTTTTCGGTTTTTAGAACACACTCATCTTGAACGAAATACTGTTTGTCTACTTCAAAGTGCTCAAAACCACGAGCAATTCGGAATTGCTGTCCAGTGTGCTCGAGGGACTTTCTGTGTGAGTCGTTTTTTTTTCACTTCTCAATTCCGATCCGAAACTGGTGCCCATTCTTAGCACAGTTCACCCGTACTCATTTTTTGTTGGAATAGTACTGATTGTAAACCTCATCTAGCCTTAAGGTGTTCTAGATTGGTTTCGCGTTAATTTCGCTGATTGGGACCGTTGGTTGTTGCTTCTGTATAGGTGTGACTCCTCGTGAGTTTACGTAATCACATTTCCGCGTAATTTTTCACGAAGATTGATAAACATGCTATCGATCGTGAAGTTTCAGGGTAAGGGTTTCTCGTCCGACCCTGTAGAACTCGTGTCGGGTAGTGTTAGCGAATCTGCAATTTTTTTGTCAGTAGTTATGATGTATGCGTCGAACGTTACAACTCCTGTTATAAACCTCTGTTGACTACTCGTAAGTACTATAAATGCTATCGTGTATGTATATATGGCCCTGTCTTAACATAATAGAGGCGACTTCAGATTGATGCGCAAAATTCATCTGGGTTACGTCCCGCTGAATTGTTTCTCTTAGGGGTGTATCTTTTGAAACCGAAAGAAGATTCATTCAGGTCTAAATTCCAAACGTTGCTCTTTTCAGTACACTTCCATGGTCAAAAGAGAATGGGCTGTTTAAGGGTACAATGTTAGTTTAACCGTGCCTGATGTAGTACATGAATCGGCAAATACTGGAGATGCTCATGAATTTGCAACCTTATATAAAAAGTTTTGATACGCTTACACTGAACTCCCAGTCGTGGGAGTTTCATTGCTGCTTTTGGTCTATGTAATGTTAATAAAATCGATCTCCACCGGTCAGTAATTCTCTGACCCCCACCGTTATTCCATTCCATGGGAATGAAACCACTTGCGATTGATTGATTTGACGGAGTTATTTCCGAGTTGCTCGATTTTCAATTCGTACTTGTCCCGAAGTTGCTGTTTACCTGTTCGGTGACCAGTGTCAACTGATTGTGCATCCGGTAGCGCAAGTGCTATTTGATCTCGATTTTCCCATTCGGGTTCTGGTTGTCCGCACATGTGCCCTGTAAACATTCATTGATCATGCAAAAAACGGTGGAGTTATTGGAGCTTGATGACATGCATAATGAAAGTTGTTTAGCGGCGTATAAATGCGTCACAGTTCATTTTGTTTCCGAAGGCCATTCGTCGCATGTTGCTTTCTCCCTCTCTCTCGCGATATATATATATATATATATATATATACATAAATACTAGACTGAACTGTCTGACCTCTATCCTCTGACCTTCCAGGCATGATAAGATCTCCTGGCTTTATAAAAGTCATCCCGTGTAGCTCGTTGGGCTAAAGAGGTGCACAAGCCATCACACCACGTCAAGATGCCGTCTCTTCGTGATTATGACTAGCGTTGAGACGTTTATAAGCAAAGTGACCGTTCCGGCGACTGGGTCACAGTTATTCTGGCTGACGGATTTTTTTTCCACCGCGGTAACGGTCACAGATACCAGTATTTTAATGATTTGTGTCCGTTCAAAACCTACCCTCTCTCTCTCACACACACACACTTATTCCACACCACTTCGTTCTCATTGTTCAATTTCAGCTATTCAAATCTGATCAACGTGGTCTATGTGGACAGTTTGTTATCTATTTTGAACCAATATATTGAACAGAAAGTAAGTTAGAGCCACGTCACACATTTTTCCAGGTATTGTGTTTTCTTGCTCTGTCCCATCTCAATGTTATCATTGTTGTTGCCCTAGTGAATAATGCAGCTTAGTGCGATGGTCAATAAAAGGCGATGGGTTCTAGTCACAGGAGAGGTAATTGGCCGGGTCTCTAGTGCTTTAAGAGGATTACCGCACAACCTGTCAACAAGCTTGGCATTGAGCAGGGTGGCAACAAAATTGCTTTCACCAAAATTCACTAGGGGTTAACAGGGTTCGTACTTTGAACTAGCAATGATGATCTGAACTGCTAGACCACCACCGTCATGTACAAGCAATCCATGTTGAATTAACTAATCTCAGTCATTGAACGTCAAGTTCTCTTTTATGTAGAATAGGCGTTAACTGTCCTGAGCCAATACTGCGATATTTTTCCAATATCTCGAGAATGCCGATGGTTTTTCGGTTGTTTAGCATCCTCCCTGTGAAATGCCACAGAAACCCTGCTTGGCGGATCGCATTGGGATTTACCAAGGTTTGAGGTGTAACCTTGAGTAAAAGGTCGACCGGCGCTCGGGATACCGCTTGTAATATTGTTCCTCGGACTCCTTTTGAAGCACTGTGGTCCATGGACTCGAATTACCTTCTAGTAAGAAATATTTGTGCAGCAGCAAAGAAGTGAATAGCGCTAAGCAATATATTCGGATATGCGATTCCTCAGTATCAGAACTGATACATTTATGACAAGAATGAATAAGGAACAAGACGGGCATCTGAACAGCATTTCCCCTAATCGCTTACTACCAGACTGAGAAGATGGGATGGGAATTTAAACTTATGACTGTAGACATCTGTACCAGTACTGCTGTATCACTGTAATCCTTTGTAGATGCTCCCTTGATTTGTGAAAAATCGAGCGCACAATGTAGATTTCGCAAACTCATAGGTGCTCTAACTAAAATGACCACGCTGTGGGGTTTAGCCCCTTTGACCGCAACTCTCGTATGTACAGCGCTGTCTATCATTGTTCTGAAATTCGGAGTACCCGATAAGTCTTTCCTGCTTCTATAACCACTCTACCGTCAGACCTTTGGGAAGATTAGGGCTTATGACGAACTCTTACTCTCGTCTCCTCTCACCAATGTGGCGCTGCAAGGTTGCTCCATCTGTCTGTTCCTCTTCAATTTTGCCATAAATGATGTTGTGCAATAGGCATTACTTCACGCAGCGAACACTGGCGTCTAGCTTTTCCCTGAAGAAAGAGTCAGAAACTTCAAATATGCCAATGATACTGCTTTACTCCGTGACAACCTGTTCCCACTATTTCGTCTGGTAATTAATCTCTGAAAGTAGTCGAAAGCTTTGCCTTTCTCGATAGTTTCATAACAGCTGGCTTAGGTTTCAGGGAGGAAATCTCCAACGTGTAAGCATAATTGGATTATCGTTTGTTAGTTTGCGGCACCTCTGGCACCGGCGCAACCTATCCCTTCCTCTTAAAGGGAGTCTGCATTGCACGGGAGTACATGCCATATTGCTCTACGGCTGCGCAACTTGACCTCTCCGAGCAGATCATGTCCAGCATCTATCTGTGTTCGACAACCGTTGTCTGTGCAACATCGCCCGAGTATGGTGGGAGCAACGGTGAGGTCAGGTGACTGGTGTTAGGGTCAGATAGTATTCCGTTAAGCAAAACCATTTCTCTGCTCCATCTGAGGTGCCTGGGGCACGTTCCTACGAATGCCTGAATAACTTCTGCCATACCGTGCACTATTTGTAGAAATTGATCTGGGATGGGAGAATCAGCGAGGTGCTCAAGCCATAACATGGCATAGAGGGTTGAAAAGATTGTGCTCGGATTTGGCTTCCGTTTGGGCCTCCCGGCTCCCCGGCTGGGACCCCAAAGATTCGGATAGTTGTTGGCTAGAGACTGCGGAATATGCCGTTAAACCGAAGTCAGTGGTGTAAATACGCTCTTTCCTGTATGCAACCCAAAAGTAAGGCAAACAAACAAACAAGTCAAAATTGCGTGCAGTAAACAAACAAAAAAGTTGATTTACCCAAAATTGGCTGATTTTGTTTCTTTTTTTCTGTATTTCTCTTTCGACCTATGGTTATTTTTGCACCGCATTTGTAAAAATTGGTTACATATATATAATGTCTCCTCTCAACAATCCCTTGTAAGTTCCTTCCAGAACGATTAGTGTATTGTTTCATAAACAGCTAAAAATTATTTGATTTGTCTTGTGTCAGCTACATTAGTAGCTATATGCAAGCAGTGAGATGTTGAACCCTGCGTCCTCCTGATGTGCAGAAAATCTCAGCTTCAAATCGGATGCTCGCAATATGATTTTTGCTTTTGCATTTTGTCTAGATACTCGACAGTCAGAATCATTGTTGAACTAGTCAGTTTCAATGTTGTGGGGTTAGGTTTTATTATTTGTTCCGTTGTTTTTCTAGCTCTTGACAGACAGCCTCTTATCCACAGATTCAAGCGTATGTTTTGACTAACGACATTAGCATTCACTTATATCTGTACATGTTACGGTACGCACACTGCGTCACCCATCTTTGTGTAAGAAATTAAGGTAAGGATGGTATACTAATATATGATCTTATGCTTATCTCAGGTTGTAATACTGTGTCCTTGGAATACACTTATTTTCCCTATTTTTCTGTTTATTATACTTATCTCAAGGACACCAAACTTGCCGATGGACTAAACTGTGTTCACACTGCTCTGAATATTCTCAACAATCCAGTTTCTACAGTCGCCCTGCAGACTGATCCGACTCGATTCTATAATCACCTGTATGCCTTATTGGGTCGAATGAGTGGTACATCAAATCCACCGGATAAACCAGATGGTCTATCAGCCACATTGCTTGCGATTTCATCTAACTACGGACGATCCAATACACCAGCATCACAGGCCGTATCTCAAATGATCCGTCGTCAAGAAATCGCCCGTCAAAAGGATCCCAGAACTGAGAGTGATATTGACGGTACGGTCACGGGATCGGATAATTTGGCTGCGAGTGCTCGTCCCTTCTCGAGTCGTGTGACTGTTCATGAAGCTGAACGTCTAACAGATGTGCTTCTGTCCTGTTTGCACATGCTGCTAGTTCGTAGACGACGTGATGTCTCCATTAATCGGGTTCTGGCTTTTGTGAAACGTCTGTCCGGTGCTGCTTTAACTATGGTAGGGAAACCAGTTGAGCTGTGTGGAATATTGTGGTTGTTTTTAGTTCGCTCTCTTCTATTCTCTCATTCTTTTTATTTCGTCCCATATTTGATGTAGCTTTTTGTGGTTTAGTCTAATATTTGTTTTGGATCACGTCACGGTTTGTCTCATTTTAAATCAAACGCACTCCGACCCCCAATAAGACCTGCGTTGTTGTAATAAGATTATTATTTTTGTTATATTATTGTATTATATTTCACACATCTGAGTTCAGACTGTATGTCGAACAAACGACCGTACAATAATCTTCATAAAAGATATTCGTGATTTGCTAGTAGGCGGAATACTGCCAGATTGGCCCCTACCAAAGAAGGTGAATTTTCTTTGGTAAGTTACCACCGGAGCCTTTGATCAGCCAAATTCTGACCCGTAAGACAGCGGTGCTATGCAATGGGAGTTGATGTTTGCACCTTTTTCTGTCATGCTTCAGCCAAAACCCGCAATCAGTCTCAGTTTTTACAACCATGCAACCATACATTTTCATACCCCGGTTTTGGTTGCTGTCTTTTAGCTGCCTATTTGGATAGAAAGCAACTTGAAGATTAGAATGTTGAGAGAGCAGAGTCGAAGAGAAGATGGAGGATTCAAATAGCCTGGAGTCGCAAAAATAATGAGTAGATGCACGAGCGCCACTCGCAATGCTTTAGCAACGATCCGTCACCTTTTGAACAAAACCCATTCTGCACAAACTTTAGTCACGCCGCTGCAGGCGAGTCAGACCCAAAAGTATCGGAATATTCTGAGGTCAGCGAATGTTCTAATACTTTGTTTTCTCAAATGTTGATGTTGCAAAGCTTGGTTAATTGAAGAACGTTTAAACAATGTGACCGTATGGTCAAACCATTTGGCACATCTCGTATGGCTTCAGTGTTTTCATCTAAAGTGTGCTACTTCGGTAAGTAAAAATGCAACCCCAGCAGTATATTGTTTTGCATTCAAAAGCCCTAAAATAAATCAAAAAGGAGTGATGCCACGAAACGGTGAATGCTTACCGTTCCGTTCCTCCATTCAAATTGAGCTCAGTTTTAAAGAGGTGGATGCAGTCACAGTCCGAGGATGGTAAATACCACGTACTATCATCAGTTTATTAACTGTGCAACATTTGACACAAGCACGACGGTCGAGGTCGCCACACCTCGTTTCTCAACCAAGCTTTGCAACATCAACATCTGTAGAAAACAAAGTATTTCAGCATTCTTTGACCTCAGAATATTCCGACACCTTTTTATCGGACTCGCCTACAGCAGCAGCAGCATTACAAAATTTTTTGCGTCGAGGCTAAACCATTATTGGTCTGGGTTGAAGCCGTGTGGGTTTTGACTAAAGCTTGATAGAAGACGGTGTAGTTGATTGAATCATGAACCCTTCGGACTGGTTCTAACATGCCCCTTGGGCTTCGATACCGAACCGAACTGGTAATCGCGGCCACAGTCAAAAAGCTGCTGGTATTTGTGGTTCGTACGCCCCTTCTTGGTTGCTTTGTCATCAGGTTATTTTAGTAAACTAGCCTAGGTGAATTATCAGTGGATCACCGAAACGGTTGTAACCCCGGATATACGCTCTTTGTCCTCTCACCTTGTGAGGTAACATTTGGCGTCTACAACAACTGTATAGTTGTCTTTTGTTATTTGTAGGTACTCAAGCGGTTGAGGTTGTCGCCAATGTCGCGGTTTTGGACCTTAGGTCTGGGATTCCAGTTGCACCACCACTGCCACTCAACTTCGGTTGTAAACAACCACTGCCACGCCTTTCCTATTCTAACAGCCTCATTTAGTTCTTTAATATAAATCCCAGAGGTGTACGAACCACATTCATCCACTCCTTGGTTTTACCGTTGGGTATCGGGGTGTATTGGGTACTTTTTACGTTTGACCCCGTCCAAAGGACACCGAACCCCATTGGATTACGGTTTTCACACACCGTCCCGCTGCCTTACGGGTCAGACTTTGATTACTC